TCCGACAGCCCATTGGTTCAACATCCCATTAGTCCGACTGTCCGCGGTGCTGAACGGCTCGCGGCGGCCGTATGGTGCGCCGCGACCGGCTCTGGGTCAGCTGGGAAAGGCTTGAGGCGGAGCAGGCTCACGGCTTATGTGTTTGTCACTTTCTTTTTCATTTTAACCCACACCATGATCTTTTCCTGACCCTAACCAAGTGGTTTTTGTGCCTAAACCTAACCAGACCTTAACCACAGGGCATTATGATGATTTCGGAACAGACTGCGGAACAATGGGTTTAATATGGTCGGAACAATGGGATGTCAAACCAATGGGCTGTCGGACCAATGGGCAGTTCCCTAGGAAGGGAGGGCCAAGAACTCCGAGAGGAGGGAGGAGGCGGTGATTCACATGAACATACATGAACACGCAGCTGGACCGGCTTGTAAACAAGGGGCTGGAGATCAACCCATTGAAAGGGTGTGTGAGGTCATGCTATACTCCAGATGAAATTACACCCCTAGTTCTTCACATAGCGATTTTTTAATTCCTTCAATCTAGAAATGATGAATTTTGCTTATTGCCCCTTTAAGGGTGACAGAATTATGTGTTTATCTCTGTCTTATTTGCCAATGACCTTTGTTGTCAGAAAAAATACGCTCATGTTCTTGTGTTTGTGTGACCCAAAAAATAACGCAGACTAATTTAACACAATTGAAGCAAAGTGGTATTTAATTTGGTGCATTACACTTGATTTCAGCAACAGGAGCTGTCCACAGAAAGCCTGTCGGTGTATTTGCAGTTGTCTATGGTTCTTTACACAACTCTCATTGTGTCAGTATGTTCATCAAGTGGAAGCAGGGTTATGTTTTTTCATTGCGTTTACAAAATAAAATTCTCCAGATACAGACTGTTTGCCCTCCTCCCCACAAAGAGGCACAATGGGAGCCTCTGCTCCAGGACGGACGGATGGACGGACGGACAGAAATTTAAATGTTAATTAAGTGTATTGGTTGGCAAGTGAAATCATTTCTTAATAATTTATTTGGGTGAAATTTAATTATAAACAGTGACAACTGCAACATAAAAAAAACCCCATCATAACATGTACTCCAAGATATGGTATAATCCCTGCTGTGCTTGAGCTGCATTCAAATAATACATACTTCTCTTGGGTCACTGTTCCTCAGATGGCAAAAACGAATAAGTTAAGCATGGTGTGGTCAATAAGCAATGAGATTTTTGGATGCCTGGAGATTTTATTTTATCATCAACAAAATATCAACAACCATTCCCAGTTATAACTCCCACACTTCGGTGGTCGATTGCGACAGGCCCTAACATCAAACCAAAAGTTTCTGAGGTTATCAGAGAGTTTATTTAAAAAGATTGTTTACAATTATATTACTGACCTAGACCGAACTGCCTGCTGCCACCATCTTGGAAAGTCAATACAAGTCAAATGACGAGTGTGACGTAACATGATCTGAAGTCTGTGGACCATTTTGTCTGTGATGATCTGTCCACCCGTCGCTCACCTGTCACTCGCACTAACTCTCATCCAATTTTGTTCGAGTTCGTCAATTGACTTGTATGGGCTTTCCAAGATGGCGGCAATGGTACAGTATGTTGAATTCTGGTCAGTAAATACTGTCTGGAATTGTTGAGTCTTTCTTACAAAAAAAAAAAAGTTGATTGTTGATCAATAGATAGTTGATGTTCTATTTGTCTTATTTTCTACTATTTGCAGTTTTGCACATTAGAACTAAGTTTTTAGTGTTTTTGAAAGGCATTTTGAAAGTTATCAGGGGAAATTTCAAATGTTGTGGCAGTGCACTGAGCGAAATGAGCGAATTTGTTGTACTATTTGCACGAGACCATAGGCCCTTATTTTGTGTTTGTGCATTTTTTTAAGTAGACTTAACTATGTTTACTAGAACAGGCATTGTACTTGTACTTCGAAATGTCCTCTGTTACAAAGTTCTTGGGCAATAAATAATAAATACAGCATGTTTTCAAAGTCAAAACATAATCGTTTGCATAATCGTGATTTCAATTTTGACCAAAATAATCGTGATTATGATTTTACCTTACAAGGTGCCACCTGCTAATCAGTTTCTAGCCCACTCACACACTGATGGAACAGCCATCGGGAGCAATTTGGGGTTCAATATCAGGCTAAAGGATACTTCGATATGCAGACTGGAGGAGCCAGGGATCGAACCGCTGTTCTTACGCTTGGTGGACTGGATTGATACCACAAACCACATGCTACAATACATATACCACAGTATACCACAATACATATATCACAACATACACCAACCACTTTATTAGGTACACCTTGCTAGTATCAGTTTGGATGTCCATTTTACTTCAGTTGTTGTTGTCAATGTTAACGTAACTTGTTGTGTTGTATCCGCTCGGTTAACTTGATGCATACACTGGATGTCTTCTGTTTAGATGTTGTAGCATTGAGGATGTGCTATTGTAGTATGCTAACTCCATTTTGCAATATATACACTGAAATGTGTTTTCTTTTCATTTTAACTTGTAATGATCACACACTCTTGACACTTTGTTGTTTTCTTGTCCCTCTTCCTCCATTGTTAGGCTAACCACGCTTCACATTCATGTTAGCTGCATAGGCTATCAACAGTGGAAGTAACGCCAGCACGTTGTGCAATAGAAATAACCACCCATGGGAAACACAGTGCTCCGTATAGTTGTACTGGATTTGTCTTGAGGCTTTTTAGTTTTCCTGGTTTCCTGTATACATATGATGCACTAAGCACCGTCTTGCATTTGTTGTTGATGCTCTGGGACGCCTTGTCAATTTACACCTCATACATGCGTTGCGTCTTCTTTAAATACACTTCATTTTCACAGGAAGGTACAGTTTCTGCTCATTACATGCATACAGTCTTCATCAAACTAAAACTGCAATGCCTGTAAAACACTTCATATTTACATTTATCTCATGAAATCTTGTGATATTTCAGAGAGAGACTTCTGCTTAACAAGGCTATAACAAACAGACCGGATGAAGTGAAAGGTAAAGAGACACTTCTGACACTAATAATGTGAGCCTGTCTGTGGTGAAAATAGCCACTTTTAATGGACATACAGTGACAGTGTTCGATTGCCCCATGTGCTAACATTACAGTTGTGTGGCTGCTGGCTGCTGCCCACTCCAGCAGTACTGGAGAAATTTCTGTTGTTCACATCAGTCTTTTTGACCAATTTACATGGAAATTAGGGTCCAGGTTGAAAAATGCCTAAGTTAACCTTTAACCTTGCCTACAAATTATGACTTGGCTCTACAAGCAAGTCAGTGCACTCAGTGGGTTGTTTTAGAGCAGGGGTGTCAAACATGCAGCCCGGGGGCCAGAACTGGCCCGTCGAAGGGTCCGATCCAAGCCACTAGATGACTTTGCACGCCTAAAATTGATGCACTTGTGAAGGCCAAGAGATGCCATGTTTCAGGAGCAAGTTAAACAGTGAGTACATACTTCATGTAAAATGCTGCCTCAGAGGCTTTTCCACCCTGACGAGAATCCAGTTCTCTGAAAAAACAATGAATACTTACTGTGGCCATAACATTGTGTAAAAATATTGTCTACCAGCAGCTCCAGTACAGAAGGATCTCTATCACACTTCTGTCTTAAAACAATATGGGCGGAACCCTGTTACTAAAGCACTGACAAAACTTCAGATTGTAAATGGTTTGTAAGGCAGGGGATGACTTATCCTGCTTCAATAGCTTCCACTTTATTGAGTGAAAATTTCTGGGAAAAATGCACATATAATGAAAATGAAAAGTAGACTGACTGCATGTAGAAAAACAGAGACATACTGTTGAAATTGCATATATTTTTCTCAGGATATAACGGGCTATTTGTCATTGGTTTGGTAAATGTTCTTATGCCAGAGCAAATAAAACATGAGCTCAAAGATTTGTCTGGTATGATTCAGTCTTACTTCATTCACATGAGCATAATCTGGTAGAAATGTGGACACTGATGACTCGTAGAATGTCCTGAAAAATGCCTTGATGCCATAAAAGGTACTCTGAGCAGGTTATAATGCAATTTTATACCAAAATTAGCCCTAAAAACATATTGTGCCACCTAATATTACATAAACACATAATCAGGTATGAAGAGTTTATTCACACAGGACATGCAAGACAAAATGTACATGTCCATTCTGAAAGAAAAAAACGAATATACACAGGCATTACTCAGTGGAAAATGTTTTATTATGAAAAAGCCTTATAAATCTATTGCAGTTTCATAAAAGTTTGGCTAAAACAGCTGATTGGAGTCTTAATGAGCCATACTACCCAACAACATTTTGTAGTATGATCACCTGGAAGTTTTTCTATCTTTTATTTCTGCATTTGATGGATGGTGTGCTACTGGGTTAGTAACTTTTCTTACATGCACACTTGTTTTCACCTTGGAATTATGAAAAGCAGTTGCTTTGGTGAACACCAAGATCCAAACAACATAAAATCTGTGAGATTAACTGCTTTCAGTAAGGATATCTCAGCCTCTGATGCTTTGATTTTGACCAGAAGTATCCCTTAAAATAACACATTGTAACAAAAACATATTTCTAATGTGTTTCCAGTGTAATGTCTCAAACCAAATGTTCAAATCCACTGTAACTCATCAGAGTACTTTCAATGTGTTGTTAAGCTTTTAAAGGAGCCAGTTTATTTAATCATTAATACAAGTTTTTGATGTACTTATCTAAATTGTATTTGGCTATAACAAAGACACATTGTGTCTTAAAGCCTTTTTTAATCACACTATTTAAACTTATTACCACTTTGTCCACACTTACTTAATGTTCTTTCCCAGACTTGACCAAAATGATTCATGAAAGGAGTGAGCTTTGCTGACAGGGAGCCTCTCCAGATGTTCTGTCAGAAAAGGGAAATGATCAAATCATCCATCTACAGTCCAAAGAATTAGAGACAACTTTCCATAAAATCACAGATGTCACAGAGGATAGATTGGCGTATTTATTGGATAGTTAAAATACAGTTTGTTTTAAAGCACTTGGACAAGATGTGTCAAATACACCACACTTGTACAAACATACACATTGCACTCAATATTGAATCAGCAAGATCAAAACACTCAGTATAAGGACCAGACCATGAGCAGATCTGAAGCAAATGCATCAAAGAACTCAGATGCACATAAACATGGGGAAAAGTTCTTCAATAAAAGCACCCTTTAACAATAACTTTGCACAAAATTGCTGTCTTTGTCCTTCACTTGGCTGATGAAGGTCTGACTCCTCAACTCTCATGACATTAAGAAAACCTGGGCCCAACCAGGTAAGGGAGCAGGTGTTTAAATAATGCTCACGACAAATTACAGTGCCCAGTTGTTTAGGCTGGGTTGACAGTGAGAAAAATATAGAATAACACTCGTCTCAGCCTTTAAAGGTCCAGTGTGCAGGATTCAGGGGGTATATAGGGGGTTATCATTTTTGAGTGCCTTCTTCAGTTTAATTGTAGTTCATTCTACTACACTGTTGTTTTTATCATTTGTTTTATAGCACTTTGAGATTCCCCAGAATGTAAAGTGCATTATAAATAAAATGTATTATTATTATTATTATTATTGGCAGAAAATTATTATTTCTTTAGTGTATGATAATCTGAAAATAAGAACCGTTGTGTCCTTCTCACTTTAGAATCAGACGATTATATCTATAGAAGGAGCAGGTCTTTGTTTACGGTACCATGTTGCACCACTTTGTTTCTACAATAGCCCAGAATGGACAAACGTAACAGTGACTCTAAATCGGGATATTCACGTTTTTGCATTGGCCACCGTGGTAAGAACCCCAACTGCAATGAGCAGTGTTAGAGGCTTTTTTATTCAGTGTTTCTAGCACTTTAAATCACCTGGTCTAGACCTCTGTGGATAATTTGGCTTCCGCTGAAAACCTCCTTAACGGGTGGATCTTATGTTATCGGAGAAAAAAGGTGACCATACAATAACATGTGTTGGACTAGCCAACTGCAGCAAGATGCCAAATTAGGTCAGAAATACCTGGATTTGTAATGTGACACTGTGTTATTCAGTCTTTTTACCATCATCTAGTCTGTTTCTTTTTAGAAAGGAAGAGACCTCTCCGGATAATTCGGCTCACGGTAAAAACCTTCTGAATGTCTGAATCAGAAAAAGGTGAGCACACTAACATGCTGTGGGTGAGCTGCCTGTCTCCAAGATGCCGAACGGCATTGGAGATGTACTGATTTGTAACGTGAAACTGTTTTATTCTGTGTTTTTAGTGGTTCTAAAAACACAGAATAGTCCAATTGTTTTAGAGAATGAGACCGCAGATAATTTGGCCCTTGATGAAAAACCCCTGACCAATGAATTCTGGCCAGGAGAAGCTTTAGCTGGTTGCAATCTGCAATTCATCACTAGATGCCACTGAATCCCCCTAAATCTGACAGACTTCACCTTTAAGGCCTGTATCTGATTTTCAATTAAATTAACACAAATCAGTTTTAAGGGCTGCTGAAGTTGCCAGTTTTGCACAGTTGGTAACTCACTCTTTACTTGACATAATCATAACCACATTACATCAACATATCAACAGCAGAATCACCTTGCAGCTGTATACAGTAGCTATTTCTTTCCTATGGAGAGAGTGGCAACTTTAATGGTAAATGGACCTGCATTTGTATAGCACCTTTCTAGTCATCCGACCACTCAAAGCGCTTTAACACTACATGTCACATTCTCACACACATTCATACACTGGTGGCCGAGGCTACCATACAAGGTGCTACCTGCTACTCAGTTAAACATTCATACGCATTGACACACTGATGGCACAGCCATCAGCAGCAGTCTGGGGTTCAGTATCTTGCTCAAGCACACATGCAGACTGGACACACCACACCACACTCAAAATTTAAATCTCACCGATCAGCCACCTGAAGACACAGGCTGCTGATTTAAAATTCAGTCTGGACCTTCGACACAGCAGTAAACAACAATCTTTCTTTTTGTCCACATTTTTCCTACATTCTCTTAACAATAGTTGAGTCCCAAAAGACACATGAATAAAATGACACATAAGCCTTCATAATGTAAACTTCTTTAAATCAGAAGGGTTTTTTGATACAAATACAGCTGCTCAAAAAAAAAAAACAGTTTTAATGTATGAAGTACACTATAAAGGTATACTGTGGATAATTTTCCTAAAAAATGCATAGATTCATACTTAAGTAATCTCTCTCAATCATCACTCGTGATTTTATTTACAGATACTCGGCCACCTGCCTGTATTTTCTTCTTTTCTCCTTTTTTTTTTTTTTTTTTTTTTGTTTGGGACGTTTCTTGGAACAGCGCATAGGTGAAGTTTGCAAAAATGCAAATATAGCCAGGCAAAATCCCAAGCAGACAAAGCTGGGGTTGGCTTTCACTTTTGCCAGCGATACAGTTTACAAACAGTCAACAATAGTATACCTTAAAACAGTCTGTAGTTAAGCAGTCTTAAAGCTGCTAAACTTGTCTAATTAAGTTGATAACAGATTTATCTGTTTCTGATCATGAGATTTTACAGGAGTCTGGCAGTAAGTACACATGGAATAACTTCATGTTTGGAGTGAAATATGTATTGGCATTTTTAAAGCATATGTGTTTGTGATTTTGTATGTCTGATTTAGGCTGCCTTCAAGGACACATTTTAGACAAAAGACCAGTTAACTTGGGACAAAAGCCTTGTTCCTAATCTGGAAAAAGCTATTTTTTGGGATAGTGGTTAAGGTTAAGAGTAGGTTAAAGGCCCTGACACACCAAACCAACATCAAAGAACTAGTGGAGATGAAGGCCAGTGTTGTGTCTCCTTGAGTCGCCTGTGTCTTGGCCAAAAATATGCATTTGAATACCCCACAATGACGACAGCTAACAGCAAACTAGCCATGGATGTATTAGTAGAACTGGATACACAGTTGGTGGCTGGGCCCTGTTTATTCCCGTGAGAGGTACTCAGTGGCTTATGAAGCCAAAATGGTTCAACTGCAGCGTTTTTGTATTATGCAGCCCATACTGCAGGTGCACTAGAGACTTATGGTAGCTGAGCATGACAGAGTGCGTCCGAATGTCTAACTTCGGCTAACTTCCGCTTGATATTAAATTTGATAAAATAATTTAATCTTGCGGCTCTTCCAGATTTTCGAAATTATATCAGACTAAATGGATCAAATCCTGATCGTGAAAGTCATTTTGAGGCCGTAGGGCACCACATGACGGGCCCAGGAAATTGCAGTACCACTGTTTGGCCAATATGACAACTGGCTTCAAAGCATAGCAGCAGGTAGTGGTAGTCTGTATTTGGAAGACCGACAGGACAGATTCGACACGCTGGTTACCCAGTTCTGACACTAACAACATAACCCTCTTAACTTTTCTCTGAGCTGGACTGCCAATCAGAGTAATTTATTAAGCGATGGACTTCGCTGTTGCCAATGCCTTTTCAACATGCTGAATCAGCAAAAAAAAAAAAAAAAAAGCCATCAAGGGCTGACTAATGCCAATGGTCCAGGACACTTGCAAACAAAAAAAAACAAAACATGGCGCTCACTAATGGGCCAGCATTAATTCACGGCCAACTGTCAGCTTGGTGCGTCAAAGCCTTTATAACTATCTCTATAATGTCCCAAGAAGTGAGCTAACTAAACCTGCATATCTGTCTAGTACTCAGAGTATGGTGTCCTCTGTGATGTGGTTCTGGTGCTCTGGCTGCTGCTCATGTGTCTCTTCAAACAGGGGATCCTCTTCGCCAGCAGTCTTTTAAAGTGGCTCTGAAACTTCTTTCCCACGAATGTGTAAAACACAGGACTGATGCAACAATATAGATAGGCTATGTTCCGCGTTACATACAGTGCATAGTCCAAGCTCTCTGTAGCAGAACATGAGCTATCATCATCACTGGGGCTGGAGATCTGAATAGCTCGAAGCAGGATGACAATGTTGTAGGGCGTCCAGCAGGCAAAGAAGGTAAAGATGATGATGAAAATGAGCTTGATGGCACGACACTTCTCCTTCATGCGAGTGGCCAGGATGCGGATGGTGATGCTGATGTAGCAGTACATCACCATGAACAGAGGGAGGAGGAAGAAGAGCAGGAATTGCTGGTAATAAGTGACCAAACGCCAGCGCTCCATGGTGCTCTCAGGGTATCCTGACTCCTCACATGTCAGTCCATTGAACGGACTGCTCCCCACATTTTTCAGAACCAGCTCTTTTACACTTGCCACAATACTGATGCACCAAACTACCACTGACGAAATGATGGCATAGGCCTTTTTTCTGCTCTTAGCAGCTGTCACTGCATGCACCACTGCAAGGTATCGGTCAAATGTCATCAGCGTAAGGAAGAGGATGGAGCTGTAGAAGCCGATGAAGTAGGCACTGCTGACTATCTTACACATAGCCAAGCCAAAAATCCATTCAGACAGATGGTACGTTGCCCAGAAGGGGAGGCTGGAGGCGAAGAGAAGGTTGGAAAGGACCAAATTCAGGAGGAAGATGTTTGTCACCGTGCAGAGCTTTTCATACTTGTAGATGATGAAGAGGACAAGCCCGTTGCCAAGGTAACTCAGGAGGAAGTTGGTATAGTAGAAAGCTGGGATAAATTTCGCACCAAAGTGGTTGACAGCCTGGTTTGCACAGAGCTGGACATTTTCACTGACAACATAGCTCATGTCAGTGCTGTTAATGGCCTCCTTGAATAGATCCTCAAAGAGCAGAAATTCGTCGCTCATGGCTGGTGTTTGACCTGTGAGACATTAAAGATCCATGTGAGTCTATTTGTTGGCAGTTGAAGACACTTCACATAAAACACAACTCGTCTTTATCACATATAAAGAAAAGGACATTAGCTCAACCCTCACACGCAACAAATGCTTGATAGTTATCAAACCTATACAACCAACACATTCTCATCCCAACTGAGCAAATATTGCCGCTTTGTCAGTGTCGTTTATGTCTACATATGACACACTAGGTACCATTCTGGTTTGTTGTTGATGTTACACCCATTACATGCACTGGTTCCTCTCTAAATATACAGTAAAACACCTCATATTTTCATTTATTTTCTTCTACAACAAAAGTTGTGGTTAGGTTTAGAGAAAGACATGGTAGTTTGGCTCAACATTCATACAGGAAGTGAACACCAGGCGTCTGGGTGAACATCTGGGATTTGTTGGACACATCCACCTCCCGCCTGCCCTACAGGGACTTTACAGCTGAGAGTGACTGGCAGCCTATCATACCACCATGAAAGGTTCCATCCAGCTGCCTTACAAACCGATGCCGTCCGGCGTATCATCCTGCCATGAAAGGTGGCTTTTGGTATCAGTGTCTGATGCTGACATCACTAACTAAACAACAATATTTGACGATTTGAGAATGAGAACAGGCTGATAAACACTTCATTAAGTCAATCATGTCTTTTTTGTTTACACACACACACACACACACACACACACACCTGAAAAAAACTCTGTTTCTGATGTGTGATTTTTAGTAGCCCCTTGTCAAGGAAACTCAACACACTGTATTAGATAATTAATACATTAATTAACACAAACTGATGAAGAGCAGTAGGCTAAAAATGTTTTTTTATTGTGATTTATGACCCTTTATAAATAATAATAATAAAGCCTGTTTTAAAAAATCTTGGTGTGATGTTTGATAATGATTTTTGTTTTGAACAACATATCACTAGGTTTATCCTATGATGTTTTTAGCACCTCAGAACCATTGGTAAAATAAGATCTATCTTAACTTTTAAAGTTACAAAACTGTTGTACATGCTGTAATCTCTTTGGATCTTGATTTTTGCAACAGCCTTTATTCTTGTCTTAATCAAAAAAACCTTGCACCGATTACAGATTGCACAGAGCTCAGCCACTAGGCTTTTCACCAAAACCAAGAAGTATGATCAAATCACACAGGTTTTAGCCTCTTGACATTGGCCCCCTGTTTGTTTTAGGGTTGACTTTAAAATTGTATTCATTACATATAAGGCTCTTCATGGCCTGGCTTCGATCCACTGGCAGAAGTCTTCTGCTTGTTCCAGAGTCTAGGCTGAAGACTAAAGGGGGCAGAGAGTTTGCAGTCAGGGCCTGAGACTCTGGAACGACCTGTCTGAGGATATAAGGCTGTCTGAGTCACCGGCCTCATTTAAGTCTCTCCTAAAAACATTTTTCTGTAGGAAAACATATGCTGAGTTTATCTGAGCTGTCTGTCAATTTTATTGCTATCTTATTGATTTTATTTCCCAATCATTATCTTGATTTTAGTTTCTAGTTTTGGCCTCTCATTGTGTTTTAAATGTTTAGTTTTATTGTACAGCACTTTGTAACTGTGTTTTGAAATGTGCTATATAAATAAAGTTAATTATTTATAATCATCAGGTTTGAACTGTTTATTGTAACAGTGAGTGCACATTGAAATGAGCGTGTCTGTTGTGAAACAATAACGTATGTATACAGGCATTACTCAGTGGAAAATGTTTTATTATGAAAAAGCCCTCATAAATCTATTGCAGTTTCATAAAAGTTTGGATGAAAGAGATGATAGAGTCTTAATGAGCCACACTACCCAACAACAGCGAGCAGTTACTATGGTGAACACCAGGATCCAAACAACACAGAACCTGTTTGAGTAATTGCTTTCAAGTACAGAGCAGTGTTATGAAATAACTGACAGTTAAACCACTGACTTATGCCTGGTTCGTCATCTTGGTTTTTTTTTTCTTTTAACCCTCTCAAAACAGAGAAGGGAAACTGCTGACTGAGCATTAAAAAAGTCCTGTCTCTCCCAAATGGTGCGCAATAGTACTTGTTCCTTGAAATGAGTCATTTCCAGCTTAACTGGGCTGACTTTTAGTTTGTACGTCTGAACTTTGAGGGTTGAGTTTCTAAAGAGTACTGTCAAGCAGCAAAAGTGCTGCCATCTAATTTTCATCTCTAAAAAAGAAACACAGTAATTCACAATTTGAATTTTTGAACTGGGCTCACAGTCCAAAGAAATTACTTAGTTAACATTCCTGTCTTACGTTTTTCTTTTAAATAAAATAAAATCATCATTAACTTGCCGATATTGCCCAAGACTGGTTGAATGCTTTAATTTGATGTGTTGTTTCAAATTTGTTGTCAGTGTGGTTGACATTTGGACTTGTTTTTTCAGGCCCTGCAGGAACAATTGCTTGTAGATCTGAGATTTTTTTTTCTGTGGAATCTGTACTGATTTGTTTATAAAAGTCTTCAAAAATTTTTATCACCTAGCTTCAGCAGTAAAGGTTGCTGCGTTGTCTCAAGTGCCATTAGGACTCGCCATGCCAGCATTGTGTGTGTTGGCAGGTAAATGCTAGAATGTACTCATACAATGGAGTGCTTTGCATTAACCCACCCTACTGTGCTGTGACTACATGCTGTCATTACTGCGCAAGGTTAGATGTGGGCAAAGAGGTCAAGGTTAGGGTTAGTACTAGTCTCACAGCACAGTGGAGCAGGACTAGGATAAACACTAACCAGATTTTCGGTGAATGTTGGGCTGTTTTGCAGGCAAGCTGCAAGCGTTTAGACACACAGAGCTGGATTGGCAAGTTGATCCAAGGTGCCCAATTTTCTGCCACGTAGGGGTAAACATATTCATGGACCTTTTTGGTTTAAAAAGAACAAGGCACCCTTCCGCCACAGGAGGGGCTGTTGATGACTTGAGGGAGGGGCTGTTGATGACTTGTGGGAGGAGCTGTTGATGATGCCGCACGTGCAACCCACTGGCGGTGGACTAACAGTAAACAGCTGATAGCAGGAATGAGCAGCTAGTAGCAAGAGGGAAACGCAAACCTGACAGACACTGAAAAGATGAACAACTGGGGAGACAAGGAATTGCGCGCCCTCCTTGCCCTTGCAAATGAAGAGGCCATTAACCACCAAGTGATGGGAACGGACAAGGACGGGCCAACTATTGAGAGTATTGCCGAAGGACTGACCACCCGTGACTTCCCTTGGAGTACGTCACTGTTATGTCCAACGCTGAGCTACACGTTTTGTTATTTGCTCACGCCCCCCATTGACCCGAAAAAGGCACATTCTGCATGAACAAAAGTAGGTAGGCAGCATTTCGCTGCACTCCCCGATTGCATGTACACTAGACTCTAAAAGCACAGGGTTTCACCAGGAGACAGTGCCTTTCATCCTGCAGAGTGTTTTGTGTCTGATGTGTGTTTTCATCTGCATGCCTTAGGGGATCTCGTCAATTTTCGAATAAGCTAGCAAAGCTTGTACACAAAGTTGTTTATTAATCTAACCTTTGCCTTTATTCCAAGATTAAACCTACAGCAGACCATGGGCTGGCTGAGACAGCATGGCCACAGAATTCGCTGAAGCTTGCACTGCCACACTCTGCAAAACCATGGGCCAGATATCTATATCTATATAACCCGAAGTTATGGGTTCTTAGGCAAATTTGTTCCTCATGAGAAGAGGCATCTCTGATGAAGTTTCATGTCTCTACGACATACGGGGCATGAGATATGCCCATTCAAAGTTTGCAATTTCAGTCAGTTGCTATAGCGCCCCCCTTTGGCCAAATGATATAATATTGCTTCATTCGCATCCTCCCATTACCCTCTACCACTGTGCCAAATTTCACATGGATTGTCCAAGTCAGTGAGGAGAAAAACGTGGAACAGACACACACACACACACACACACACACACACACACACACACACACACACACACACACGTACAGAGTTTTCGTCATTATTTTGTAAGATGTTTCAACATGGCTAATAAGCTATGATAGCTTCCTCTAGGGCTGTAGTCTCCTGGTCGGCTAGTCGATTATTTGGTCGCTTTGCTCTCGTCCGACCAAATTCTCATTGGTCGAATAATTGCTGTGTTACTTTCATAAGGAGAAAAGTGCTACATCAACAGCTTTCCAGGATTAATCCATTATTTCCTGCGGCAGGGGGACAGGCTAAGTTACCTGTGAAAATGTTGACAGAAAGTTGAACTCGCCCACCCTACTCTCAGCTTCACGGTGATGCAGACCTGTCAGTTTCTATAGGCTACTGACACCATTTCCCTCAGTGGAAACGAAGCTTGTATTTACTTGTATTTCACAGATAAGAAACAATAAATAGTGAAGACAGTAAAGCCTCCAATAAAATAGCATTTTAAGTCGTGTGTGTGATCTATCCTTCAGGGATTTATACTTCGGGATTTATCCTGGCTTCATATGAGCAGAGGAAATCTCCACTTGTCTCTAGGCTAATTTATACAATGTAAAATGCCATAGGCTTGTGCTAATAGTATTATCATGTTTGTTTGGAAAACGTGTTTTAAGTATAAGACAGTTGATTTGTTAATGAATGTGAGTTGTAATGGAACCGAATTATGTGCATTTACCTTTGTTACATGTTGCTGTTGTCCCTGGTTTTATATGAGAAGAGGAAAAGTTCGCTAGACGCTAGGCTAATTTATACAATGTAAGATGCCATAGACTTGTGCTAATAACGTTAGCATGTTGTATTGGTGGGGGAAATGTGTCTAGATAAAGACAAGTACTTGTCTGTCAGTTCTGCGATTCACAGTGAAGCTGATTTGCATACTTGTGTTTGAGATTGTCTCCATTAAGCCATGTTTAATGTGTGTTTTGAATCAACTATATAAATAAAGTTTGATTTGAACTGAACTTTACAGCACTTAACAGAGTCCTCCACCACCGACTAGTGTTTTGGAGGTGTAACTGCAGAGTGACACAGACATACCACCGCAGACGTAAAAAATAACATGCAAATTTTTTCCCCCCCACAACTAATTAGTTAGTTGAAGATTATGTGCGACTTTAGTCGACCAAGATTTTCTTTGGTTGACTACAGCCCTAGCTTCCTCTTTTTCCTACTACTTCCTTGCTGGTTCTCTGTCCTCTCCAGTGGTCAAGACAGCTTGCTTTTAGTCAACAGTATGAACTGGCACGTCGAAAATGTATTCTTGATGTGACTGGTCTCACTTTAAGATCTGTATCAACTGGATAAAGAAAACGGGAAGTAGTTCTTTACCTTCCTCTGCAGTTTATGCTTTGCATGCTGAGCTATGTGGAGCTCATGTTAAGATTTCCTGTCATTTCAGGTGTAGCCCTCAGAAAGCTGTGTTTATTTTTTTGTACACTTGTTTGACATTGTATAGTTTATGTTGACATATGAGACTGTGTTGTTTTTTTAGGATAGCAATCAGTGAGCCAGTGGTTAGCTATGAATACAGTGCAGATTTATCACAAGATACAAAGTGGATGTAAATTTGATTTATTCATACCTGACTTTGTATTTTATGTATTCTTACACTAATTCATCTGCCTGGTATATCTCTGTGAAAATTTGTTAAAGGAGGACGGTGGCTCATTTCCTGGCTCATAACTGAGTGCATCTCTGTCAGTGTTTATCATCCGTTTTTATCAAATTTCTTAGTATCATAGCTGTGGGTATCTTACACATGCAGGTATTAATGATGATAATCCATCAATAAATGCACATCTAGTTTTCTCTTTATAACAAGCACTACAGTCTACAGACAGCATTTTTGTATTTTCAAAGCTCTGATGAACTGTTTCAGGACTCCCCCTCAGTAAGAAAATCAATAAAGAAGATAATTTTGACTTATTACAATAAATATAGAATTTTGTTATCACCCTACTCACCCTTTAAAACTTGATTATCCTTCAGTAGCAAATATGCACACCATGGCATTAATAACAACCAAAAGAAATCTTAAGATTATAAATAAAATATCTACCATTTTTGTAATATTAAACCATGCAGTAGTGTGTCTAGGTTGGGCTTAAACCTTATGAACCCCTCAGCAGGTTTGTCTATTTTACATTAAAGAATGGTCATAATGTATGATGTAATCATAAGATGTTGCAGTTACTTTAACATGAAAGTAGAAACCTGAATTTCTGTTTGTCATCACGACAAACTGTTACTGATTAGTTTTCATATCATGAGTAATTTCAGTATTTCGTATGAAATTGAAAGTTAGCTTACAAGGGCTCTGTTTGATCTGATATGAAACTTCAATTTAAAGAGACACTTCATCCTCACCCTTCATTTGATATATAAAAATACCATATATGTACCTGTTTTAAAATCAGAATTAACCAAAAAAATATGCATATAAACATTTAATAAAGAGGTGTAAAGCTCTGAGTACTAAAAAAAGAGACAAAAATAGAGTCTTGATGTCAATTTTGTCAGGGCTGATTGAACTCACCAGTGCAGCTTAGCAGGAGTGCAGTACAACAGGCACAAAGACACACTGAGTGACTCTGGAGTGCTCAAGAGTTTTAGTGACAAAGAGACATCTGCTAAAGGGGTAGTCCTACAACAGACTGATGTGATACTGACTGTGTGTGTGTGGGTGTGTGTGTGTGTGTGTGTGTGTGTGTGTGCGCGCATGTCAGTCAGCTGTCATTCAGGCTTTAGCTGCAACTGTGTTTTTATTGACTGTAAATAGCATTGACTTACAGGCCTATAAACCCATATCTCCCACATAGTAAACACTGTAAAATAAGACTGAATTTGCTTTACTTATTAAAAAGTGCTTTGCTGCAGTGATGTAATGTAGCTAAGTAATAATACTTTGTTACAATACCCAAGTATTTTTGGTGTATCTGTATTTTACCTGATTTTTCATATTTCTGTCAGCTTTCACTTTTAGTCCATTTCCTGAATAAAATGTATACTTTTACTCCAATACAGTACATGTCTATGTATTGGAGTAAAGTATTTTTCTCTAGTTCCACCCGATCATGACAAGGAGATTCAAGGAGACAAAGATCTGTGACAGGTAACTGTGCAGTGACTGCTCCACTACAGTGTGTCAGCCCTGGATAGTCAAATGTTTTCTTTAAATCCTTTAAGGAGGCAACAGATAGGATTCGGGTTTTTTTTAGCTTGGTGCCACCTAGCGTCAGCAGTGTTGTTCGCACTGTTGCTAAGACCAAATTGACTGTGGGGATCAGAGATAATCAATAAAATGTAGGCTGTAAAGCCACCAGTATACCTCTATGTATATGTAGAATGAGAAGGTGTGTGGACACTATACTAAATAAATGAGTAAAGAGACTGAGCAACAATTATCAGATTTATCTGAAGAAAAAAAACAAATAGTAATGCAAATAATTATACCAGAATGCACAGTACCAGTCCAAACAACTCACAGTAAATTATACCAATATGCACAGTATCAGTACAACCAATAGACACGTAAGGGATAATGTATAGTGAGCCGGTGACTGTTGAAAAATAACTCCCAACTGGGGAATGGAACCCCGACGCACAGCTGAGTTATTTTTTCAACAGTCACCGGTTCACTATACATTATCCCGCTTAGATCATGGCTTACTACTAAAAGATTCAAATATTATGGTGCGTTCCAGGCAGGCTTTTGAACTCGTAAGTCACGACTTCAAGTCACGAGTTACAACTTTGTAGCGTTCCAGGAAAGTTACAGCAAACTGCCAGTTACTTCCTGTTTAACATTGAACATGCCGAACCGTTTGTTTGTGCTTCCCCATTATTGCTATCGCCAAGGTGCCTGCTCCTTGCTCATTTGAGTGAAACGGAGGAGGAGAAACGGCGCATAAGGTCACTATCTGAGGGCTGCCATAGAATGGCAACGAGGATGTCAGCCGACCAACACTCGCTACCTGGTCCCTGGTTGCGGCGATTTGCGATGCTGGCCAGCTAGGAATGAACTAGCAGCCAGTACAGTATAGTCCTCTCTCGTCTAGCTAACATTTAGCCGTGTTACTTCCATTAGAAAGAAAGCTAGCTGGACATCAGTTTTGAAGCCTCTTTGGTCACGGAGCTCCCTCCATGTCTTGAATGCCTGACTGAGGTTTACTCGTGTTTTTCCTCTTCTTTTATCACTCTCATTTTTGCTCTTCTTTGCTTCCTCAGACAGAGAAGCTCGTTTTCTTTTGGGAGGCCGTTTTTCACTTATCTCCAAACTTTGTCCGTCTGCCATTGTGCTCCTGACTCAACTATCTCATGCCCCGGCCAGTTCCTCATAAGGACCAGCTCCAGTCCCTGAATGGCTGACAGACCAGTTTGGCAATACATGACGCATTTCCTGCCGTAAAGCAGATTTTTTCCGCGAAAATTCGTCCCCGGTAGCAGAAGCTTATTGCAAAGATTGCAAAGCCATTAAGTAACCTATGTAAACGCTGATAGTCTGATTTTACTGTGTATACTACCCTGTGCAACCCACATTATTTTCATAATGATATATATAGGCAAAAATGCTGTCTGTTGCTTCTTTAAGTTGTCAAGAAGACCTTGTTTTTGTTTCAAGTGTAATGTATGATCTATTTTTAAGGTGGTGTACATGTCTGTCCATCCATCCATCCATACTTCCATTTTCATCCGGGGCCAGGTCTCGGGGGCAGCTGGCTGAGCAAAGTACTCCAGATGTCCCTCTCCCCAGCAATGCTTTCACACTCCTCTTGGGGGACCCAAAGGTATTCTCAGGCCAGATGAGATATATAATTCCTCCAGCAAGTTCTGGGTTTGCACCGGGACCTCCTACCACTTCGACATATCCAGAGAGCCTCTAACGGGAGACGAACCACCTCAACTGGTCCCTTTTAACACAAAGGAGCAGCAGCTCAACTCCGAGCTTCCTCTGGATGTCTAAGCTACACACTGTATCTCTAAAACTGAGCCTAGCCCCCTTACCTATGACCATAGGTAAGGGTTGGGACCAGTAAATTAAAAGATCTGCCTTCCAATAAGCTCCCTCTTCATCATGACAGTCAGTGCCTGCATCGCTGCTAATGCCACACCAAACCACCTATCCATCTCATGTTCTCATGTTACCCTCACTGATGAACAAAACCCCAAGAAAACCCCTTGAACTCCTTTGCTCCTAACCTGGAAGTGGCAATCCAGCAGAGAACCATGGCCTCAGACTTGGAGGTACTGACTCTCCTTGCGACCGCTTTACACTTGGCTGCAAACCGCCCCAGTGCCTGCTGCAAACTGCCCCAGTGCCTGCTGGAGGCAACATGTGATGAAGCCAACAGAACCACATCATCTGCAAGGAACAGAGATGTAATTCTGAGATCCCCAAACAGGACCCCTTCCTCTTCCCAACTGTGCCCTGAGATCTTGTCCATGAATATCACAGGATTGGTAACAAGGGACAACCCTGGCGGAGGCCAACACAGACTGAAAACATGTTTGACTTTTTGCTGATTATGTGGATGCAGCTCATATCAACAACCTAGTACTCCCTGTTCCCACAGTACCCCACAGGACTTCCTAAGGGACAGGGTCATAAGCTTCCTCCAAGCCTGAAAAAGTCAGAAAAACACCGGTCCACTGTTCCACAGCCAGGACGGCATCCACATTGGTCTTGAATCTGAAGGTGTGCAAGTTAAGATGAAATTAACTTCATAATCCTCTGAATTCTGACTACTTGTTTGTTTTTTTGTTTTTTTTTTTACAGTGGCACAGGTCTGCAAGCAGGAAAACTCAGCTTTCTCACTTCAGTTGACTGAATTTACCATCAACACTGACTAGACATCCACAAAAAAGGTGATGAATTTTCCCTTTAATTCCAGGCTAAAATGACTGCAACAGAGATAGAATGTGTGCATAAGTACACTGTGCTCTTGCACAATATTAAAAAAAAAACTCCAAACACTTCCCCGAAGAGCAGTTCAGAGGATGAGAAATTGTAGTATGTGGAAGAAGTGCAAAACATCTGGTTAGAAATTATACAGATTTGAACAGCTACAGTTTCCTTTGCACTTCCTCTGTGCCCAAAACATATTTCAGTTCTTTTTCCTGTTCAACTGAAACTACAAGACTGAGGTTAAATTGGTTGGCCTTTGTCTCGTTCTGTGCAGTCAAAATACTGTATTGCCAAGTAACTGAAAAAAAAAGGCAAATGTTGTTCAAAGGGCAATGAACCTGTCAAGTTGCAGTAGAAAGGCAAACACAATTTATTCACAAACATTCCAAAATATAGACCATTTCAAACATGACAACGTACATTCTAAATGGGTCCTTTTGTATTACCTGTTGCAAAGCTTGTTAATGCAGTGGCTGTGACAGGAGGGGAACAGGGATAGGTGTAGATTACAGTATCGTAGGTGTAGTTGAGAGTATCGTAGGTGTAGATTAGAGTATTGTAAATGTAGATTAGAGTTTATTAGGCATAGAGTAGAGTACTGTAGATGTTGATTACAGTATCACAGGTGTAGATTAGAGTATTGTAGATGTAGATTAGAGCATCATAGGTGTCGAGTATCATAGTTGTAGATTAGAGTATAACAGGTGTAGATTAGAATATTGTAGATGTAGATTAGAGTATCATATGTGTAGATTAGAGTATTGTAAATGTAGATTAGAGTTTATTAGGCATAGAGTAGAGTATTGTAGATGTTGATTACAGTATCACAGGTGTAGATTAGAGTATTGTAGATGTAGATTACAGCATCATAGATGTCGAATATCATAGTTGTAGATTAGAGTATCACAGGTGTAGATTAGAGTATTGTAGATGTAGATTAGAGTATCATATGTGTAGATTAGAGTATTGTAGATGTAGATTAGATTATTGTAAATGTAGATTAGAGTTTATTAGGCATAGAGTAGAGTATTGTAGATGTTGATTACAGTATCACAGGTGTAGATTAGAGTGTTGTAGATGTAGATTAGAGTATCATGGTGTAGATTAGAGCATCATAGATGTCCAGTATCATAGTTGTAGATTAGAGTATTGCAGATGTAGATTAGAGTATTATAGGTGTAGATTAGAGTATTGTAGATTTGTAGATGTACATTAGAGTATCGTGGGTGTAGATTAGGGTATAGTACAGGGGTGTCCAAACTTTTTTTCGCTAAGGGCCCACTTAGTAAAGGTGATGTGTATAGCCTCACTTCTTGTGTATTAAAAAATTAGAAAAGTCATTTATTTATTGAAAAAAAGGGGGGGGGGGGGGTGGCAGCTCATTCTAAGAACAGCAGCCTCAGATTTCTTCTTAATCAGGATGGTGATCCCCTTCACAGCCTTGTACAGAGGGGGGAACAATAAGGGGAACATGGGATGGCTACATTTCAAGCTTGTTATGCAAGTTATTGGGCTTCATAACACACTAATTAACGTTTGTTAGAAAATGTTATCAACTTCAATTGACTAAATTGGGCTTATTAACAGGGGTGCACATAATTACTCCAGTGAGTATAAGCTGTGCTGAGTATTTTAATCAGCCGTGGCACTGACAATCCAGCTGCGGTGGCTGATCTGGCGCCATTCATGCCAAAAATCGGGACAAATGTCACTTGACCACGGAGCGACTGAATCTGCCTCACAGTAAGGAAAGTTGTGATCAGCTGATTTTGTGCAGTGTGTGCGCTGTGCACAGCGATGTTTACTCCTTCGTGTGTTAAGAAGAAACATGCGTAGACAAGAAAGTCAGTGTCACTTCTCATTGATGTTACGCATTATTGATATTTGTCGCACCTGCATACCTGCATACCAGTTAAGTGCACACCTGCTTAGTAACACATGAATACTAAGTAATATATTTTCAACTCACCTAAAATGGGAACGGTATTGCACTCAGTGGGAGCAGTGATGCTGCACTTTGGACTGAAGGATGGCTGGCAAGTCAAGAGTAAACTTGGTGGTTGAGATGCAAAGGACATCACAGAGATGGCTGTTGGCCATATGCTTCTCAGTCTGCTTGTGTTCAGCGTTAACAGAGAAAATGTTTGCTCACATGTTGAGCCAAACAGACTCGCCACTTTTGCATGGCATCTCATCAAAGGAAACTTTTCCTGTTCCAAACTCTGGTAGAAGTCGGGGAGTGAGAGATACTGATGTTGATTCTTCAGCGAATCGTCACACTGCATTATGATGAGTTCTTATGGCAGATTCTCTTCACCCGTGGTAAATTTTTTCTTTGATTGCCCTTTTTTGGTGGAGGAGCTGCCTTGTTCAACAGTAGCTCGCCCTAGTGTTAAAACTAAGAAGTACAATACAGTCATGCACAAGTTTCACGAGTGGGCCATACTCCATTATATTTCTAGAATTTCCTGCGGGCCAATTTAAAATGGACTGCAGGCCGTAGTTTGGACACCCCTGGTATAGTAGATGTAGATTAGAGTATCGTAGGCGTAGATTAGAGTATTGTAGATGTAGATTAGACCAGCTCATTACTATGCACAAATGTACTGTATTTATTCAGGTGCCATCAGACACCTCTCCACAGGGGCCACTTAGCAAGTGCGCAAGCCTGGAGGAGTGCCTTTCTTTTGCTGAAGGACCTGCTCCACAAAATGTCTGTGCGTGGCACTGTTTTCAGTTGATGCTGCACAGAAGCCACACAACTCTCGTCTTTTTGAAGCATATTTATGGATGGGGCTGCTTTAAGCGACGGGTTGTCCGCAAGGCGTCCCCATAGTCTATGAATCATATCCACCCCTCACTCCTTCACAGCTCCACACTATCATCCAAATATGGTCACTTCCTGGTGACCAAAACCAGGATGGCAAAATGCTGAACTTGAGGCTTCCAGATGAGAGTACCAATGGGTGACGTCACGGTAGCTACGTCCATTATTTATACAGTCTATGGCTGAGACAGACCCAAGTCATCGCTGCTGCTGCAATGTTGCATTTTTTTCAATTTCCAAATATCTTAGTGTTGTGATCACTTTATTACTGGCTTTATATTGTTATTGCATTGGGTAGGAGATGTGAACACATCTTTAATGAGATCGACCACAAGCATGACACCTTTACCATCTACTCTGTAGCATTTCATTTACTCACTGTCATTCAGTGTTTGGAGAATATTTCTACATCTTTTCATGGCTTTTCACCATTTTCTCATCTGCTTAAGAAACTCTTAAGTCACTTAAAAGTCCTCTTTCTTACTCCTAACAGTTTTTCACCTTAGGAGCTCTCTTAAGGGCAAAGACACTTTGTGAATAACTTTTATCTTGAATCTAGTCTTCACTGCAAGGGGAAATTCTTAGAAAAACATTATCATTTTGTTAATCATTTTTCTTAGAATTTTGTCACAAGTAGTAACTCTCTGTACTAAGAAGCTTTGTATATACGGCTCCATGTTGTTTTTAGGGCAAGTGTTAGAAACAGCATCCATAATAAGAATGTTTTGTATGTAAAGCTGGCCAAACATCATCTTTGACATCAGTAACCTCTGTAGTAGAGATGGAAATAACAAATCGCTTTGCAAATTTGAAGGTTTGCTCAGTTCAGTTCAAAAATTCAGTCACTGACTGTGTGGTTCATTCAACTAAGCAGCCATATCATCAGCATGTATAGTACATTAGTAAGCAAACACATCATCAATTCAAATGCACTTCACTGTGGGCAACAGTAAGTGCATTACTGTTCATATGGCCAAACATTTGGTGCTGATTCTTACTCCAGGTCAGTACTGTTGCTAGTCCTGTCACGTTCAGTTCAGTAGAAAACTAGCCTACAAGCACTGTACATAAAGTAAAAGCTCAGCAACCCATTAAAACTCTTTTTTTTTTTGTGGATTAAAAACTACACTGTTCTTCTTGTCAGCATGAGGGTCAGTACTGTATTTTCATTCTAAAGTGGCCATTTCCTAACACTGAGGACAGCTGTGAGCTGAAAGGTATTCGTTCGACTGCTGCTGTTCAGTCCACTATATTAAAAAGTATTATACTTATTAGTGAGTGCTGTCGGGTTTTTCTGCTTTGCTGTAATTTTATGGACTGGCACCCAATTACACTTTGAGACTTTTGAGTGAGCACACCGAGTTTGCTGAAGACTTATATCCATACACAACAGTACTAGCCAGCCGGCCTCCCCAAGATGGCGGCGACATTGACGCACAGTAGCCACAGGAATGAGTCATCTATGATTATATATATCAATGGTCCAAACAACACAAACTACACGCTTCACTTGTCTGCACAAACTCGGCAACCAACCTCATATTCTTACTTTCTCTCTTGCTCGCTCTCGGACATCTCTGATCCGACACACCTGAACCAATCAGTGACCAGTATTACTCTCGTTTACACACACTACTTCCTCTCGTTACCAGGAACTCTTCACAATAAAACATTTCAAAATAAAACACATGTATAACTTCACAGCTGCATGTTTTTTATAAACTTATTTATTACACTTTACTCTTTTTAATCTTTAATTAAATAACTTTTTAACCCTTTTAAACATATTTGTGATGTAACTTTTAACTTTATTTATTACTATGTAAAGTGTTTGTTTCTCAACCAAGGTACACATATTCATTCACCTTCATTTTAACATTAGTTCATAACACTGTATGGAATTTATTTTACCTGGTTACACAGAGAAGAAAAACCTTCACATGTCCAGTTTTGATTTTAACAAATGTCAAATCATCTGTGGTCCCGTGAATCCCAACATCCCTTAAGTTTAAATGACTTGGTGTTATGTTGTGAAGATTAAGTGTTCCCCATAAGTTTTTGAGTGTATTTAGATTCATAAAATGTACCCATATTCATGTGTATTACTACAGACATTCCTGTAATCTTATGTAGCAACGTCTGCTGTGACAGCAAATAGGCCCACTGTATTCGCTCATGTCCACGATGACCTGATGATGCTTTACTGTCCAGGGGATGTGCCATGTTTTTCCCCCCTGATAATGCTATAGTGTGATAATGTGATTGTGCTGCTGATCAGTACTGGAATGACTCATGACAATAATGACTAAATGATGCTTTAGCCTGCTGTTCAGGGGACAGGGGTGTTGAAAAAATATTATTATGGGCAGCCACCATTTCTGTATATATCATGAATCTCATTGAAGATGACAAGGTCCTGTTTTGTTCATATTCTCAATAGATGGAAGGAAAACATAAAAACTCTTCTTAAAAAGAAGGAGAATAACAACACATTCTCATGCCAACCTCTTCACATATTGACATTTGGTCATGGACTTTTCTACATCAAGATATTATGTGCAAGGTACCCTGGGTGCCTTGGTTGTTGACGTTCTGGGACACAACTTCAGCCTGTTACATGCATTGTCTGTTTTCAAAATACACTTTCATTTTCACAGGAAATGTACAGTTTGCATGCAGTCACAAAACTGACATTAGTAAAATGTTTTGTACACACTGTATACAAAGATACAGTCTGTGGTTTTGTAAATTGTATTTGTTAATTGGAAAATTTTAAGATTTGGGGTTTCATGTTTAATTTTCACATAAATTTACAACATACCCATATACCATCAAACAAAAGTTCGACACTACACTTTATTAAAAAAACAGAAATTTAATTGGGAACCAAGTCAAATGACCACCTGTGGGTCCCACTGAAAACCTATCAGCATAAAACTTGATTTGATCTGAATGATACATTTTCATCCTGTGACTAAGACTAGAAGCCACTTCCGTTGGCAAGCAGCAACAGCTGATCTGCAAACACACATCCTCTCCGGTGGCTTCAGTTCTAAGGAAGAAACTAAACCACGAAACCTGTTATTTTGTGTGGGTGGTTGAGGTTTTTTTATTGTTCAGCTGTATGGCTGCAACTTGCTAAGGTGTAGCGATCAAAATGTCAAATGCATTTATCAAACTTTTTCTTCACATAGATAACACAGTTCCCAGCAGACGCTCCCCTGCTCACACTGAGAAGTGAAGGGAAATGTGTTTCTGCTAAGTCAGCCTATTCATTGTGTAACAATAAGCAGAAACAGAACTTTTGACACCCTAAGTGCTACGTCATAGGCAACTAGACTTGCTTGAGTTTCTTGAAGATGTTTTCACCTCTCACCCAAGTGGCTTCTTCAGTTCAGAGCTGAGAAAGCCTCTTGGATTCTAAAACAAGTTACTGAGGAGGCCGCCACATTAGCTTGAGATGAAAGCTAAACAAACAGAGGATGTGAAATGATTTGATTTCAGCACCCCACACATAACTATAGCTGCTGTTCTCTAATGCAGCCATCAAGTTGTAAAAAGGCTTTAACCCATACTTTATTTAAATACTCGAACAATAGTGTTTTCAGAGAAGATGCTTTTGTACAGCTCATCTATTGCTAGTTTGCATTTACGTAATTACCAGCAGCAACAGTGTCACAATGGCCTTTTTTTTTTCACCTCGTGACTGTGTGTGTCATCATGTTGAAATGTAGACACTTATTGTGGCGGGAAGCAGGGGAGGAGCCACAGGCTCCCCGCTTTACACCCCTGGATCTAAAGACTTAACAGGTGTGTAGTTGAGATCACACTGAAGGCAGGATTCAAAGATTGGTTGGGTGTGGTCCGTGCAAAGGCACCAGAGGTAAGGGGTTGGGAAGTAGGGACAGGGGCCTCTGGCTCATCACTTTATGCCCTTGGCCAACATTGGTTTTAAGGGCCCTAACACACCAATCTGGTCAATGTCGGGCCATCAGTGAGCATCTATTGCCAACAAGTTTTTGTTGGGTGTCCCGCGCCCATGGCACTGGATAGCCCCTGTTTAATTTTTTTTTTAATTTGGCCAATTCAGCATGTTAAATCAGCGGTGGAGACGGTAAAGCCCGTTGGTGAGCGCATGGTAAATATCATTTGTTCTTTTAACACAGCATTGTGTTATCAATGTGCTAACTGGCTAAGTGGAACCTTGAGTCTGTCCTGTTTGTCTTCTGGTTTGTGTTTTTTAGTGAGAAATACACGTAGAGAATTATTTCCTCTCACGCAGGTGTACAAAAGATGCCAGTTGGCCATGGGCTGGGATCTTTGCAGTCCGTTCAAGTGCAAATTTTTGGCTGAGACACAGGTGACGTGAGGCAACGCTGCACTTGGCCTTTATCATTGCTGGTTCTTCCATGTTGGTTCGGTGTGTTTGGGCCATTACGTCCTGTAAAGTCCTGTGTGTTTAAATCACTATTGTTTTGCTTTGACTGTCTTATGCAATATATTTCCTTCATGAAACCAAACACACTCAGAGCATGCTTTTCCTGTACCTTCCCTCACTAAGACAAACCTGCTTTTATTTTAAGACATTATTTGAAGACATTTCCCTTAAATACATCTGCAAAGGAAGCAGGAAGCTGTGGTAAATTAAGGCAGCGAAACCGCAGGACTTTGTCATGCTATATGCAAGGCAATTTGTTTGAAAAATGAATTAATGGATGACGAGAGGGTATTTTATATATTAGAAGGCAAAATACTCCTTGATACATGTTCAACACTGTTGCTCTTGCAGGTCTGGACCTGTGGCACATCATACTTTGAAAGAAATTCATTATAAAAGAAAAGAGAAGCAATAACACAACAGTTAGTGCTGCACCACATTATTTATCAAAACCAAACCTGGAGACAACACAACAATCCGGGGCAGTCTGTTAGCAGCTCAGTAACAATCACAGAGCTGAGTAACTGTCTCTCCAACATGACACTGGAGTTGAGGATTTGCCATTTGGTAAATATACCTATATGTACCTATATTATTACAGTTGATCAGATCTCTAGTCATTAGCGGTAGGAGCAGGATGGCTTCCACTTTGATTGTTCTCAATTATACATGGAGCTGGTCAGTGCCAGTGGCCTGTGTCCAGCCCCTCCACTGTATCTTGGGTTTGTGCTGCAGCTGGTGGAGGTGGATTCAGCAGGTCGATGATCTGTCCTTCCTTGAGCTTCAGAACTGCCTGCTTCAGACTCCACCTGCAGGGAGCGACAAACACAGGTCAGGACTCGTGCATACAAAGTAGACAAATGAAGCTGTAGTGAAAATTCAGTCAGGAAGACAATGCTTTCCATGCTCAGGCTGTAAGGTTTCTTCTCATCCTGCCATTCGCACCTTGCACGCATGCCTACTCACTATCTCTACTGTAGGTGTCATTGTCTGGGTCTGTCAATTGAGTCATCAGCTGTTTCTCAGCTGATTTACAATCAACCAATTGTACAGCGACACACCTTCTCTGTCATGAGGGAGACAGAAAATGTCTCAATGTCAGAACAGCCGATCAGAGTCAGTTCAATCAACTCAGGGTATGTTCGCTTTGACTTAAACTTGTGCGCAGTGAATGAAAAAAGCCATCATCAATGGAGTTCCGCAACTATGATTCACAATGGCAACAGGTAAATAAAAAGCAGGACCTCCATTTTAATCCAGTGGATGCAGAGATATTAATGCAAGAATATGCGGACTGTGCACATTTATCTAATTGGAAAAAGAGAGAGAGAGAGTCTGAGTCAGAGCAGGGAAAAGGTTGATAAATTAACATAATAAAGTTTTATTCAGTGTTATTCATTAATTCATCATTAGGTCATAGTTTACATTACATTTTAAATATATTTGTACAGCTTTAATCTGACAGGGACAAAACACAGGAGCCAGAAACTGAAGATGACAAATTTGACATTTTTACATCAGAGACAGGGATTATTTTTAGCTCACAATCTAATACAGTAATAATGTGTTTGATGATTTGCATTTGAAAAGGCATGGAGGTTAAAATACAGCAGATTTCAAATTTAAGTCATCTGTTTGAATTTTTGGCTCAACAATGTTCAGTGGCTTTATTTCAGCTACTTTAACAAATGTTGTAAATTTAAATTCAGCCACTGAAATTCTGTTAAAACCCGTTCAGACTGTACGCAGTCTACTTTAAAAAAAACAACTAAATTTTATTCTGCAGCTGCACTACGACCCTGCTCATTATAAATATTAACATATAATTTCCAATATTATAGAAATTATTTTCCATTAATGCAACCAATAAACATTATGAGTTCAATGGTGTTCATTATGTCTTTTGTTTTTGATAATGACTTAAGTTGTTCTTTTTTCTCAGACATGTAAGGATGTTAGACCTACATACCTTGACATGTTTCTGCGGAAACTTCCGCCTTCCTCAGAAGTGTCACTTGCTGGTGGTGGTTGTGACGGGTCTGATCTGTCAATCAGCTGATATTAGGGAGGCGTGACCGTCCTGTCAGTTTTGACAGGAGTTTTGACAGGACAATCACGCCACCTGCTGTCCGTCTGCTGCCTCTCCAGGATACTGCTCCAGGTGTGGGAGAGCATGTATGCCTCCTCGTCCCTGTTCATCGTCCCTGGGCCCCGCTTCCTTATGTCAATAGCCTCCCTGATCCAGCGCCGGTATTTGTTGTCCTTGGTGTGTATGACTCTGGCCTTGTCCCAGTCCATAGGATGGTTTTCTCTTTTGCAGCGATCTGTTATGGCTGATTTGTAGGTTTCTTGTTGTGCCTTTTCTTTTATTGATCATTTGTCTTGTTTTCGTCTCCTTCTCACATTCCTTTTGATGTTCTTTTTTACGTGTGCTGAAGCTCCTCCCTGCCTCCCCGATGTATCTTTTATTGCATGATTGGCATCTTATCTCGTATTTGGCGTTGCATTTATTGTTTTGTGTGTTTATGCTGTGTTTCCTCATCGTTCTTTGAATGCGTTCTGTGACCCCACTGACGTACGGTAGCGTCACCACTCCTGTGTATTCTGTGTGCTTTGTGTGACAGGACGGTCATGCCTCCCTAATATCAGCTGATTGACAGATCAGCTGATAAAGACACGTCACAAGGCAGAAATTTCCGCTCAAACATGTCAAGGTATGTAACATCCTAACATGTCTGAAATAAAAGAACAACTAAAGTCATTAAACATTATGAGTGATACAGATAAGTAATCATGCAGTAATCACCTGCCAATTTTTACAATTTAAACCCAGAATTTTGTTTTTCAAATAATTTTATTTCTATGATTGATACTGAGGTAACACATTATATGCAATAAACATTTTAGTAAAAGTGCCCTAACAAACTGACAGCTGCCTTGTGTAAAGAGTCACAGTGTTACCTATTTAAAAAAGAACAACCACTCACAAAAAGATGGACATGCAGAGGTTTTATTCTGAGTAGGGGGTGACTCAGTCTCAGAACTTATTGGCTATCATCTGATGATGATAAAGCATACATATGCAGACATCTGTGTGAGATTAGAGGTAACGTAATGTGTGATACTTCACTGTTTATGTGTTTAATGAAAAAATTGCTGTTCAAAGAAATGACTGACAGCACATAAAAGCATTAACTTTAGATGGTCCTGAGTAACAAACTGATATCCAACCAGGATTTAGATTTTTAAATCCAGTAAACCACTGCTAATTAATGCATTTTGATACGCAGTTTGAAACGGACTGAATGAAATGAAACAGTGTGTCTGGTTCTGTAAGATGGAGAAGACAGAGAGAAACTCAGGGTTTGTTTAAGAATACCTGCCACCAAACAGGTTAACCACAGTAACTGACTTAGAGTTTAAGTCACCTCAGGGCCCTGGTGTTAATTGCCAGTGTCACATGAATCAAAACTAGACTTACCGCCCTGTGGTTGTGTGCCTCCGGGCACCAGTTGAGTTTCTCTTACAGTTAACATCCATGTCAGTGAAAACATGGATATTTCACACCCATTGTCCCCCCGACAGCACAGAAGATCCATACAATCAGCAAAGTTTCAAGGTGGACACCCAAGATAAGTATCACCAATCAAGTATCTGACCAAATGTCTCCCCTTCTGTTCCTGAGATATGATGTTGAGTAATGGCTAGAAAAGTGTTTTTGCACAACATCATGATGTCACAGTGAAGATGACTTTTGATCTTTTGAATATAAAATGTCATCACTTCATTATTTTATCCTATTAGACATTTGTGTGAAGTGTTGTCATAATTAGCATACGAATTCTTGAGTTATGGCCAAAAACATGTTTTGTGTGATCACACTGACCTGGACCTTGGACCACAAAATTCTAATCAGTTTATTCTTCGGTCAAAGTGGACATTTGTGCCAAACTTGAAGAAGTTCCCTCAAGGTATTCTTAAGATATCACATACACAAGAATGAGACAGATGAGGTCACAGTGACCTTGACCTTTGACCAACAAAAACTCAGTTCATAGGTGAGTCCAAGTGGACATTTGTGCCAAATTTAAAGAAATCCCTTGAGGTGTTCTTGAGATATGGGCCTCTAGTTTCGCACCTGCGCTTCGCCAACTGGGTGTGGCCAGGCGGATTTTGCAAGTTTGGCACACCGTGCGCGCTGGCGCAGCTACTCCTCTTTCCCACCTCCGTTCCTCCTACCTGCACAAGTCGGAAAAAGGGAGGAGAGAAGGCGTGGAGTGGGTTTTACACAGCCGATTCACATCACACCAATCAAATGTGCCCCTCTCCTCGCCCTTAAATGTGCCGCGCGAAGGCGTAATGAGAGTTTACTCAATTCGCCATGGCAGAAGAGAGCAGCAGCGTCAGAAAGCCAAACTTCTCCCAGGAGGAAACTGATGTTTTGGACCAGGAGGTCCAAGCTAGCAGTGTCCGAATATAAAGAACTGTGAGCAGACCTCCACGGGCTGATGATGCAAAGGTAGCCTGGGAGGAGGTCACCACAACTGTAAATCAATGTTGCGTTTCTCTTGTGTGCGCGCGCTCTCTCTTTTTCTCTCGCAGTTTGTGGTTGGCTGAGAGGGATGTGAACTCATTAGTTTGCAGCTGTGTTAAATCAGGTTGGGTTTCCATTACACGTGCCAAACGTGCCAAACGGTGCCAATCCCCTTTGATCTGACATCAGATGTGACGGGACAGTCGATATAGAGATACATTTATGTGCTGATTGCAGATAGTTGCATTGAATAGTGTTTTTTGGGTATTTATTGCATTGTTAATGTGCCTGATATTCTGGAAACCTGCCTGTGAGGTTTTGGTGATGTGTGCGCACTGTCCGCCGGTCAGCCAAACTTCAGCTTACACCGGCTGCGCTCCCCCTGCGCTGACAGTAGACCTGGTTTCAGCTGGCGAGCTTTTAGCGCACCTTCAGCGAAGCCTTTTGGCGCAAAACTGTCACTGCGCCAAGCTGGATCTGTCGACACCTCCCCCTACTGCGCCGCCACACCCATCTCAGCGCACCTCAGTCTGCCAAACTACCAAACTGAGCGTGCCTCGGGTTGCGCTGCTCGAAACTAGCTCTGCGCGGGGTTCGCCACCCTGCGCCACCCTGTGCCGTGCCAGGAAACTAGAGCCCATTGTGTTCACAAGGATAGGAAGGACGGATGAATGGACGTACGGACGGAAAACCCAAAAATACAATGCCTCCGGCCACGGCTATTGCCAGTGCAAAGGTGCTGCAGATTCACTATCACTAAGCAGCTGTGGACAACAGATACTGTTAGAATCGCTTAGATTTATTCATGGATCACTGCAGACTGATTCACTGATGTTTCGCAATAAATATTTATTTCATACTCCATCGGCTGATCAGAGAGCATTTCATTAAAACTGTTTATTTACATTGTTCAATGTAATAATGTTGTCACAATACATTAAATATCTAGAATTAGAAGAAAGAAATTCCCTCAAGCTGTTCTTGAGATACTGCATTTAAGAGAATGAGATGGCCACAAGGTCACATCAAAATCAATTCATAATCTAATTTATTCTCAGTTCATTCTTCAATCGAAGTGAATGTTTGTGCAAAATTTGAAGAAATTCCCTCATGGTGTTCTTGAGATTTTGTGTTCACAAGAATGAGACAAAAGGTCACAGTGACCTTGACCTTTGCCCTATGACCACCGAAATCTATTCAATTCATCCTTGAGTCCACAAGAATATTTGCGCCAAATATGAAGAAATTCCCTTGAGGTGTTCTCAAGATATCGCATTCACAACCATGGGACAGTTGGACATCCGTATACTGTATATACGGATGGACAGCCTGAAAACATAATGCCTTCGGCCACAGCTATCGCCAGCACAGAGGAATAAAAATGAATCGTCACCATCATTTACATTGAACTGAGAATAGAACAGACTGTACTCACCTGTTGGTATCAGTGTCTCTGATTGAAGAAGTATAGAGATAACCTCCAGTTAGTAACCCGGTCACAGGGATCTTTATCTGCAACACAATGTACATTGAAATTCATCTGCATAAGTGTAAACAGATATTAGAGCTCTTCACAACATGACTGTGCTACAGCTGCCCATCATTTGAATCCCACACCAGCCTCACGTTTGACTGATAAATATCTTTATTAATCCCCAGAATGGAAACTGGTTTGGTCGCCCATGCACACGCCCAGTCCAACAGCTGACCATGGACAACATATGAAATACATACTGTCACAACAGCAGCAACACCAACAGATATTCTGAAAGGATATCACTGTAGCTCAGATGCCTGTCTAGACATTAAATTCAACAACAATTATAGTGACTGCACAGTGGTGGGTTGGGGCAGGGCATTTTGAGGAGGAAGAAGATGAACAACAGGAGGAAGATGAAAAAAGGAAGAGAGGGAAGACAAATGAGATATACAGGAGGGTCCATCAGCAGAACTGCTCCGACCATGACAATGTAAAACATCTTAAATTAAAAAATTGACATTTTGACATGTCACAGTAAGAACAACACAGGTGTAAATAATGAAATTAATGATGGTTGAATTCCATTTAGCTGATTTAGCTTTGATTTCAGGATCCTTGTATCCTGCATGTTTGCTTACTGTCAACCTCACTGGAGCACTTAAACAGAGCCATCTTTAGTATTATTAGTGATACCTGTGCTTTTCCTACCATGACAAGTCAAAAGGTCTGCTGTGAGAAAGGCCTATGCCTGAGGAGGCATTGGCATATTCTGCATCCCCTACGACTTGAACTTACAACATTGGAAACCAAAGGTAAGTCATGATCTTGTTGTTGCCATGCCAGTGTCCTGATGACCCCGAGTTCCAAAGCCTGAAAGCCAGTCTGAAAAACTGGACCAAAAGTCCATTTCTCTGACAGCATGTTATCCCAGAAACAAACACCTATTGCTCTGAAGTCCTGTTTCTCCAAAAATACACACTCCATGCAGTTACTTACAGATTCAAAGCAGCATTTGAGCCAGTGATCCAGGTCGTTTTTGTCGACCCTTCGCAGCATTTCCCAGCAGCATTTGAGCCACCGAAAACACGTGATTTCCACCAACCCATCCCTGCTTTTACAGTAACTTTTGAGCCACCAAATGCGGGTGTTTTAAAAGAATACTTCACCGACAAAATAACCATTTGTATATCACCTTGAAATTCAAGAGAAAAACTTTGTTTTTCTTGCATGCCAGAAATGGGCTTTGGGTCCAGTGGGGTTTTTCTTGAACTATCGGGGCTTTGGAATTTAGGGCTATCACAACAATGGGCAACACCTATCTTGTTGAGCCTCCTGCCAAGTGAGATACCCTAGATTGGCTTCACACTATGACTTCAGTAATTACCAAGGTTGCATGTAAAGGAAGATTTCAAATCAATGCAAAAAAATCAATTAACAAGACAAAATTCTAAGACGTCTCATTTATTTTTACAAAGACTGGTTGCTTCATGAGTGACAAATTGATGTTCTAAGATGGTATTATTTCCATTGACTGTTATAGTTTACATGAGGATAAAGTTCAAAATATTGTCAAAAAAATCAGCTTTTGAAGATACAATACTGGAATTTACCAGTTTGGTTTATTTTCATGCATGGGTGTCCAAGTCCTAACAAGAGAGGTTTCTTAGGCCAAACATCATAACCCATGTTCTTGTGCAGCAACTTGGAAGTTCAGGACAAATCCAAGGACAAAATAGCCATACAAACATTGGCACAGCGATGCACAGGTGACCGAGTTGCCAGCAAGAACATGGCTACTGTTTTGTTGGAACAGTCTGGTGACACAGAACTCAGAGGAACAAATTTTGATGACTAATTGAAACATAGTACCTGTGCAGTGCGTTGATCTATGCGGTTGTTTCTGTCAGTCAGATGGATGTTGTGGACTTTTAATGGTGGGGCCCCCAGGCTTTCCATGGCAACTGAACATGCTTCCAACTTCTGCAGAGCCAGTCTGTGATAGTCTGACTCAACAAATTTCTCTAATTGGATAGGAGACAAAAAGGTTGAAAAACAGTGAGGAGGGTTTTAAAATAATAAGTGAGAGTGCTGAAAACAGTTTAAATGTTAAAGTGTTACTACGGACAGGCAGCTCAAAGAGAACGAGATGAAAGAAGGTAAACTGTCAGTTCAGTGGTTGAATACTGACGGCTTTTTAAGCAATTTCTCTGTGGCTGACAACTTTCCAGTGTTGTAATAAAATCATGAGGGTCCATGATCTCTATGATTTAGGGTGGTCATTAAACTCAGTCCTCGCTGTCTTACGTCAGTGTTTTTCTCGTCCTGACAAAGTGAACATGTTTAATATTATCGGAAGTTTGTAGTTTTGGCTGATACTGAAGTTCAATGACGTTCATTGTCAACAACCAATAGCCGCGCTCTCTCCAACACCAAACAGGAAGCAGCAAACCGGGTAGACAGTAAACACAGAGGAGACTCCAGGAAGGCACAAGAACGTGAACAAGTCGAGATTCTCCTGTTCTGTGGAAAGGGAGGAGTAAATTGGTGGAGCTGTGGAATAAGAATCAGTGTTTAATTCACTGTGTATCTGATCCACTAACCAGCACTTATTTTATTGAGAAATCTTCATTTTTTAAAGTTTACCTCTCAATCCCACACCTCCTCCCACTAAAACAGCACAGCTAAACCAACAGAGCAAAGACGTCAAGAGTGTAAAGAGTTGAGGCAACAAAATCCAGAATGTAAAGTTTGAATGCAAATACAGGCTTCTGTTTTGGATTTATATTGATGGCAAACTGACTAGAATACTGTCAACATGTGACGCTTTTTATCTTGTGTTTCTAGAGTTACATGTGAACATGTAAGGAATTGTCATTATGTCAAATTTTACTACAGGGAGTTTGGTGTAATATTTTCCACCAAGAGCAGGATGGGAAATTATCTCAAAAGGAATCTACAGTAGTTGCAGTCTTGTGAACAGTGACCCTGCAAGATCCCCAGTCTTTGTAAAATATTATAGTGTGTAAAGAAAAACTCACATCATGCAGAAAGATGCAAATGCTTTTGAAGTTGGTGCTACATGACCAAAGAAAACAGGGAAAAGGGCTGTTGAATTCACTTTTGCTCAAGAGGTAGTAACCCTACAGCTATCAGAATGCAATGCACCACACAGGACCAATAAATGCTCCCACTGGTGCAATGTGAGCTAGTCCGTTCTGACACAGGAAACAATATGTTGGCCGGTTGAGGACAGCAATATGACCAAAGCTCAAATTGCAGTGAAACGTTAAGCTGAAATATATTTCTGAAAACATCTGAGGTGGGAAAGAGACAACATAGTAACAGAATCTTGGTTTATTTTTGATCAGCGCAGCTTAGTTTTACTGTTCTATTTCAGTTTTTTCAGCCTCCATTTTTACAATACAGGAAACAGTATGGTGTAGAGCCCTGCACAGGACTGTTTTCTTCAACCCGCTCCTGCCTGCTCCCGCTGAATTTCTGACCAACTGACAAAACTTTATACCCGCACAATAATAGAGATCGATGATTTTGTGTCTTCTCCTGTCCCACAGGAGAAAACACGTAATTTTATAGGCTATTAATAAAGAGATTCATGGGGTTGTTTGTTTCGTTTCCCTGGCCTGCATGTCTTTTGATGCACTGGTCAGGAATAGCGCTCCTATTTCGTTGTTTTCATTTAGTTTTTAATGAAATAAAGGCTGTTTCTCATTCTATTCTCCTCCTCTGTATTTTATTTATTTTTCTACCTTTATCTAATCACACAGTGATTGAGGTTAAGGCAGGCCTGGTGCCAGGATGAAGTTACTGAGGGGGCAGTTAAAAATTACGAGGGGGCAAATCTTTATTATGCAACATAGGTTCACAGTGAGTTATAAAGAGCGCGAATAAATATAGAGTGGAAACGCTTATGCATGTGCACCAAGATCCTGCAGTGTTTTTTTTAGCCGCCCGTTCCTGCCTGCAGCAAAGTCCAAGCCTCCTACTCCTGCAATATTTGCGTTGGGTCCCGCGGGACCCGGCGGGACCCAGTCCCAATGCAGCCCTCTAGTATGGTGCCCACCTCCTGTTCACAAATTAAGTGGCAACCTCCAAGGCTGAAAAATGAAGCCAACACAGAAGTGCCAAAAACTGCAGTTCCTCAAACGGCACTTGAGGCTGGCTCGAGGAGCCAATCCCCACAGACCCCTATGTTAAAATGCCCAACTTTACAGCAGAAATTAACATGTTTACAGCCTGGTACAAAAAACAGTTTTTGTCTCAATAGTTAATTTTCCCCTGACGTTTACATTATTTTGGTAACACTTTACCTGAAGGTATCTACATAAGGGTGACATGACACTGTCATAACTATGACATGACACTGTAATGACAAGTTGACATTGTTTGGGTTGTCTTGATTATGACAACTTGACATTAATCAAAGTGACATTACCAGAAGTTGTCTTTGTCATGACAACTTTACATTAAATTTGTTTGGGATGTCCTTATTATGACAACTTGACATTAACCAGGATGACATTACCAGAAGATGTCTTTGTCATAACAACTTGACATTAACAAAAAAAATGCACCTCCTTTTGTGTTTATGACAAGGTGACATAATGATTATCATAATTAAATGTCCAAAGTTACAGACCAATTCTAACACTCGGTCAGATAGATGTCTGGCAGAATACGACACAAAACTGGCTGTCATGAAACCATTATGACAGTGTAATGAATAAGTTATTTGACCTCAAGTAAAGTGGTATCATGATAGTTCAAATAAACACAAGAAATTTGTGCTCTAGAGAAAGGATCAGCGCTCAGTGAATAACCTCCTAAACCCTATGATAAGCTATTATGGCAAGGCTTAACCCTATGGGCCCTAGGTGTTTTTGGGGTATTTTTACTGCCTTTACTTTTAAGCTCATATCACAGTCATTATAAAGGCTACATACACATGCTATATCTTGTTTTTTTCAGGGCAATCTGGGCTAACCAGATTTGCCATCATTTCATGTCCTTCTATGTGCCTGTATTTTATACTAATTTTTATATCAATGAAAAAAACATCTGTGTGACTAAATTCTTACATTTTTACATGTATCTCAGCATAGCAAGTTGGAAAATGACATATTCTGCCATATATGAAGAGGGGAGACTCTCTGGAATCTGGCAATATAAGAACCATGATGGTGGGACATTCTGTCACTTCACAGCTGTCCAAAACATGTGGTTTGTGCCAGGCGGACATTATTGCCAGTATTTTTTCATTATTGCAAGAAATTCCACTGACTCATTCACAAGTCAAAAATGTGTTTTATCTGAAAGAAACATGCAATATTTACATCTAAGATAATAGAAAAATAGTCAACCAAGTGCAATGATGTCCTCCAAGATAATATTTGCCACTTTGTTTGCAGTAAACAAAGTCTGTCGTTGACTACGGCCCTGTCATGCATGCATAATTAGGCTACAGTTGTCTGGGTGCACAAAGGTGAAGTACGCTTTTCTTGTCATACAAAGTTTGATGGAGTGTCAACTGGACAATATGGAGATATTTGCATCTTGAAAGCCGGACTACAAATGTGGATAGACAGGGAGAAACACACGCAAGCCTAAGACGTGGTAAGATACGATATTAGTCAATATATGAAGTAACTGATAACAAGATCTGTATAATGGATTGTAAAGAAATTCGTCAGGTTTTTATTTTGTAGACAATTAATCTGGATTTATAGCATGATGGGATGACAGCACAATGATGTATGTGGTATCACTGGAAAGCTCTAGTCCTGCGCTTTCATGTGATATGCATGGCATTTCTGTGCGACCCTGCATTCGCGAGTAATCCATCCAAGAGTATTGTGTTTGCAGAGCTGTATGAAAGCTCTGTTATACATAATTTTCGTGTAACTTTATAATTTTTTTTCGCTGTGAAAACATTGGACTACTGAAAAGTGCTTGGAGAAGAACAGGTGTGCATTTGGACGCACTTCGGGCGTCGGGCCCATAGGGTTAACTATACAGATCAATGAGCAGTCATAACTAACATGTCTTTGGGGTCATCAGGTCGGAACCTTCCCTTTGTCTAGTTGGCCCCACAACACAGTGACAGTGATCTCTGGCGTTCCAGAGACACTCCCCTAATGCCAGGTCTCACTGCTCCTCGCACCAACCCAACAACCTCCTTTACCTTACTTACACATGGCTTTCTCAGCCCAAAAAGCACCGCCACCTTCAACAAACCCAGGCTTCGTTTATGCGAGCTCCAGGTAGTGACCGTGCCGATACTACCTTTCCTAGCACATTCACCATACTCTATTTCATACGCTACATAGCATACTGACATTATTCCTCCTCAAATCAAATCAAATCAACTTTATTTATATGGCACTTTTCATACGACAGTAACACAAAGTGCCTCACAGAGGTTAAAAGCAACAAAGATCCAAAACAGAAAACAAAAAGAAAAAAAAAAGAAAAAAAGAAATCCAAATCCACTGAGTAGATCTAGCTGCTTCATCTGACATTTCCTTCACTGTCTTCCTCAAACTCTGTCCCCGCACTCTGAGTTCCCCCAGGAGCGAGACCGCTGATCTTGCTATGAATCCCCTAAACCCCACTTCCACTGGACAAATCCTAGTTTTCCACCCTCGCTGCTCAGCTTCTGCTCCTAAGTCTGCATACCTAAGCTTTTTTCTTTCATAGGCTTCTTCCACTGAGTCTTCCCAAGGAACTGTCAGCTCAATGAAATATACTATACATTGACTCGCTGACCCAGAGGTGGGTAGAGTAGCCAAATATTGTACTCAAGTAAGAGTACTGACACTTCAGAACAATATTACTCAAGTTAAGTAAAAAGTAGTCATCCAAATAATTACTTGAGTAAGAGTAAAAGAGTATTTGGTGAAAAAAATACTCAAGTACTGAGTAACTGTTGAGTAACGTCTGATTTATTTGTAAAATAAGAACATGAAAGTAATCAATCAATCAAAAATAATAATCTGCAAATTCA